ACTACGACCTTGTTCCTAAGTCACCTAGAGTAACTCGGACAAGTCTGAGTTATATCTAGGAAAAATAAATTTTTAAGGTTAACTCTATTTTTTTTGTTATTGTTCTAATGTTCACCATTCAAAAAGTTGAATAACTAGAAGTAGTCATCTAACCGGAAAGGAATACGTTATTTTATTTTTTATTTAGTAATTCAATAGGGAAGACAGACCCCTACATGTTTTTTCAAGTAGATTAGGAATTACCTTTTTTGAAGTTATTAGTTATTTTATTTTTTATTTAGTAATTCAGTGGGGAAGACAGACCCTACATGTTTTTTCAAGTAGATTAGGAATTATCTTTTTGAAGTTATTAATGGGATAGTGTTTGAGAATGGAAACCACAACGTAGTGACTATGTGTGGGGTGCTACCACCACAATTCAAGCCTCTTTTCCAAATGAGGTTGTTTACTTTTTATACAAGGAGGTCACAATTATTTATAACGATCAATTGAGAAATTTGATATATTGAATCTATTACAAAGATCGAAAAATTTTCTCTTGAACTTTGAGCCCGATTAATAGCGGCCACCTATTTTCACATCTAATGATTAAAGATTAATTATGACCACCTTGTATCGTCTCATTTTATACTTTTTCTTTTATAAATTGGTTTTATTACTTTATCTCTCTTAAATTTAAAATTTGATATAGTTTCTCTATCTAAAAAATTTAAGATAGTTTCTCTCTCTAAAATTTTAACATATTATCTCTCTAAAACTTAAAATTTGAGATAGTATATCTTTTTTTGATGAACGTTCCAAATTTATTGATAGCAGAGAAAATTTGAGATAGTATATCTCTTTATAAATTTTGAGATAGTTTCTCTATTTAAAATGTTTAGGTACTTTCTATATCTAAAATTTTAAATTTGAGGTAGTTTTTCTCTCTAAATTTTTTAAAATAATGTCTCTCTAAAAATTTTCTAAGTACTTTCACTCTCTAACAACTTAAAACTATATAGCCTCTATCTCTAAAAATTTTAAGATAGTTTCTCTCTCTAAATTTTTTAAAGTAGTTTATCTCTCTAAATTTAGATATAGTTTCTCTCTAAAATTTTAATATACTTTTTCCCTCTGCAACTTAAAATTTGAAATAGTTTATCTCTTTAATTTGTAGGGGTGTTTGGCGAAATTAATTGTATTTAATAAAAGTGGGCGACTCCAGACTTTGAAAATAAACTTGTGAAAATATTTCCTCACCTCAAAAGATATGGTTGTATTTTCATACGAATTGATCCAACTTGTACTAAAATTTTTCCACCATGGGAAAAATTTTCATACGTCTTTGTCTTATACCAAACCTGCGTAACATATTTTTCACATAGAAAATATTTTCATACGAACGAAACGTCCCCTAAGTGAATTCTTCGACACAAAAATAGTTTGCTCCTTTTCTGGACCAAGAGTGATGAAAATACTCTATCTCTATCTCCTTCTCCCTCTCTTTCTTGTGTATATTTAAAATTGTTCTAGCTATGTAATGTTGCAAACTGTCATCTTTAGAGAAATTTGTGCAAATATCCCCCAAATATTCTTATTTATGTTATCTTTAGAGAAATTTGGGTAGATATACCCCAAAATATTCATATTTAAAAATGGAAAAGCTTTCCATGTGACCCCACCCACATACCCCTGATCTCAGCCGTCTGATTTGAGTAGATGACTTGAGTCATAATGTCACAAGTTGGCTCTTGAATGTCCAATCTTGATCCAACTGCTTAAAGTATTAGTTTTACTTTTTATTTGATAAATCTTTTGGAAATGAAATTTAGAACATGCATACATGATAATAATAATAATAAAATATTTCCTACGATGAAAATTATCCGAATACCCCTAAAACTTTTTAGGGGTACTTTGGTTATTTATCTTTACGAGAAATACCATTTTTTTTAAAAAAATTAGGTGGACGAGAAATACTAGTCGTTGATTCAGATCGAACGGTTGAAAATTGGAGTTGCATATAATTTATTTGTTGTTGGGGTCACATAGAAAACTTTTCCTTTAAAAGTCTCTTTTTCTATTTTTATTTTTTTTCCTGATTGTCCTAACTTTAGATTTTGAAAGTCTGAAATCAAGTTTGGAACAATTTCGAATTGAAGTTTCACACACATTTGGATCTCATCCGAGAGGGTTTTCTCATCAACAATTTCATAACCTAATAGTGTGAAGTAGCACAAATTTGAAAAAGAATAAAAAAGAAAAAGAAATATTCCATTCCAAATTAAACTACATACGAACGTTTGACTGGGTGAGAATTGAGGGATGCTAGAGGGGTATCTTTAATGCCTTTAGCATATTCTTTCATTTCTCATGAGTGATGTTCATATTTAAAAGACTTTTTCTACAAGGTTGTCACAATTAATCTTGACTATTTGATGTGGAATTGAGTGGCTACATTTATTTTATTGACCAAACTTAAAGTTCAAAAGAAATTCTCTCGAATTTTACGACACACCCAAGCTATCGCAAATTTACATCATATGGTTGAAAGTAATTGAAACCTCCTTGTACTAAAGGTAAATAGTCTCATTGTATACAATCCCTGTTTAAAATAAAAGACATGGTCAACTTCTTGAGCTTTATCTTAAAAGAAAAGTTGGCTCTTCTTGGATAATTTGATAAAGCTAAATTGGACCAAATGTCTTCCCCTTAGAACTTTTATTTTCCATTGTTGGTTTTCTTAAATTTAGAGGAAAGGTACATATTTTATGCTGGGAAAAGATCTTGTCAGCTTATGGGTCGATGGAATAGTATAAGTCTTAACGGTCTAGATTGAATCTGAGCTGATCTAACAGTCACAATTGCATTTTAAATTTTTATTTTAATCATTTTTCTATAAATTCAAATCACATGAAATTTAGAGTTATCTACTCTTCTCATTAAGGCGTACCTAATAAAATTATTTTTTACAAAATTATTCGTAAACTGCTTATGTTTTTAAAGAATAGACACTTCAAATTTCAAATACTTTGGACATGTAGAAAAGTGATTAAAATTTAAATACAAAATATAATCGTGATCATTGAATCAGCCTATATTCAATTTGGGTCTTTAGCTGTTTATTGTAGATGTAGGTTAGCGGGCCGACCTCGTACTCTCCTTTTCTGCTTGTGGAAATACTTGTTGTAATGATAATTGAGATTTTCCATGGGTTAACTACAAAATCAACTATGGTGGCTTTTTAATATTTTTAAGAAAAAATTATCAAAATACCTATAGGACATTAACTATTTAATATTCTACCTAGTTGTAATTACTCCAATTCAAGATCATGTATTTTTCTATAGGTACTTTGAAATTAATGAAAGATATGGATAGGATGTTAAATTGCTCATCTCTCATAGTTAATTTGATAAGTTTTTCTTTTTAAAAAAATTATTGATAAATGAACCTCCAAAAAATATGTGTTCTTCTTATTTGCAAAATATTTTTCTCCGAGTTCGTAAACAAGAAAACATGAGTGTAACATAAGGGAAAAGTTTATATAGAGCCGAGGCTCTAAACAATCAAATTTGAGCCCATCTCAAAACTTGCACTAGAAGAGGTTGTTTTGATGCCAAAATATCTTCAAATTGATCATCTTGACATCAAGATGCATAGACATGATTTTGTGATGCATTTTTGAACCGTCAATTTTAAAGATTTTTAAGTTTTCATAGATATGTCGATCTATACTATTTTTGAATCTTTAAACTTTATAAATAAATATGAAAATGTATTTTAAGGCTATCACAAAGATTGCCAATATTGAAACCATATTTCTCAACACCATTTGAAGGTAGGTTCTAATTTGATTGTTTAGAGCCTAGGCTCTATACAAACCGCACCCGCAACATAATAACTTCATAGCCATGCTTCTAAAACATGTTTTCGAAATTCCCTAAATACATTATATAATATTTGTGGTTTCTTTGAGACATTTTGTAAAGCCGCACCTCAAAACCCTATAAATTTTGGATTAAAAAATCTTTATAATGGCCCGAAAAACCATTCTTGCTTTTGGTTATGAAATTTGAAACTCCAAAATGGTGTAGATTTGTCGGATATATATTATGACAAGAAGATAATGTGCTACAAGATACATTAGTTGTAGGACTTGAAAGTTGTTTTTCTTCTACATCTATAATTGTTGAAGTTGAGATGATCAATTTGTGGGTCTCAAGCAGTAAAAGAAGCATTTTTTAGGGAAATTTAAGGCGCAATTCTAAAAATATTTAGGATTTACATAAAAAGCAGTGACAATTATAATAATGTATATGCAAAGACTTCGATTTTTAAAAATAATGTATCTTATAATACATTTTCAGAATTTTCAAGTATATATACATTTTCAGAATTTTCAAGTATAATTTCAAATAAATACTAAAAAAAAAAATTATAAGCCAAAAATGAGATATATTTTCGTGTTCATAATCATGGGAGTGATTAAATACATGACTTTGTTAGTATGAACTAGTGATTTAAAAAAACGGATTGGTGAACTGGTCAAGCATCGTAAAAATTGATGTGGATAAGTGAATTGGTAATCTAGATTGTTGTTCTATCGTGCGAAAAAAAATAGTGAACCGGCGAAAAAGTAAAAACCAATCTAAATAGGTGAATAATTGTTTGTAGTGTAGCACAATGATGCTTTTACTGTAACAAAATGTTGTTTTACTTTAGCAAGTCGCTGGTCCTCTTCTATTTCGTATATATTGATAGATTAAACACGGGGTGACCAATTTTTTAGTCGTTTTTTTAAAAAAAATCATATTTTTTATTTAAAAAATCATATTTTTTATTTAGTATGAATGCTATGAAGTATGCACACATCATACGCACTCTCTCCCCTCTCTTTCTAGAAGGGATTGGGTAGTACATGTAATTTTATAAAATTCGTAGGGCTTCATGGTCATTTCCATGTGTAAAAAGGACCTTCTACCCCGACAAATCTTCTCGTTCAAATCGTGCCTCTCTCTTGAATTTTGAGCTATTATTGTATCAACTCCGTAATTTATTTTACATTGTTTAGTATAAAACTTCCTCTCTTTGTTTCTTAGAATCCCCATATTCATTAATAATTTTGCTTTTCCGATTAAAAACCCTTATTTTCCATGGCTTCTGGTCTGAAGATCGATAGGGCTCATCAGATGTACAGAGAAGGGCAGCATGAAGAAGCCCTTGGCCTTTACACGGAAGCCCTAGCCATGGCCAAGACCAAGGCTCAAAGGATCGCCCTTCATAGCAATCGTGCTGCATGTTACCTCAAATTACAGGAATTCAAAAAGGTATGAATATATCTTGTAAAGCATTTTATTTTCGAAATGAATTTACTAATTGTATGAATCATTTCCTAGAGGTTTGTTGGGTCTGATATAGCTTCTGGTTTTTGCATAACTTGATGGCTTGTTGGTCAATTTGAATATGGTTTTTTTCTTCTGTTTCTAATTTTTTATCCCTCTCCATCAGTTTTGATTAGATTTTCAATATTTGTTTGTTTTGGGATGATTTTGTCAAGCTCATAGGGTCTTATGATGATTAGATATTATTCTTGGTCCCTGTTATCATTTGTTGCATTATTCTCTTTTAATTGATCGATGGGATTATATGTGGGCTACAATTATTCTATAATTCTTTTAGGAAAGCCCTATTATTCAATATTTGGATGAAGCATCAATCTTTATGGATAATAATTCTTCATCATTCCTTCGGCATTCTGTTATAATTTTCAGCTTTTATGTTTCGATTTTTTTGAAATTTTTTTTCGGTCTTCTGAATGAAATCATGTCCACTATGCTATTGTGTCGAATGAACTAACAAGGGAATTCACCATGTGCAAATAGTTTCCTCAAATTACATATGGATGTGATCTGTCTGTGTCTAAAGAAGTAGAAGGTTTGGAACATATGAAGGACTGCCTGATTATAGGAGTGCATCCTTATAAAATTCCCTCCTAACTGAAATTGAGAACTGCATTTGGCAATGTTAAATGGAAAACAGATGGAAAATGGTCTATCAATGTCTGAAGAATAGTCAGAAACAGCATAGAAAAGAATTTGCATTCACGCACCCACAAAGAGACATGAGCACATGTTCTCTGGATTCCTAGAGTGCACCAAGTTAATTTGGGAGCAAAATGTTTGACGTGTCTGCCTGGATAAACTTTTTTCCACAATTACTTCTTTTTACAAGGTTTTTTCTGTGTAGGTTAGTTATATTTGAGGCTCATGAGGTAGCCCTAAACATCAAGGGGTCCAAGGTGTGAGGGAGTTGGTGTTCTATTGAAATAAATCCTTTCTCTTTTTTTTTTTCCTTTTATGATATTTTCATGTTCTGCCAAGCACAAAGAGCCATTATATATCAAAAGGGGGAGGAGGAGGAGGAGGAGGAGGAGGAGGAGGAGGAGGGGAGGGGGGGGGGGGGAAAGAAGAAAACTGTAAGTAGAGAGCTAGAAAGTTCGGGAACAACTAAACCAACAAATCTAGATACCAACTAAG